GAGTGCAAGCAAACGATTTGCTGGTTCCAGGAACTACTCTGGCACCACCGCGAGGGCAGTAAGGTCTCATGATGATAACCTTGCCAGGGCACTGACACGCAACACACGCACACGCAGAGTCTCCGGCTCTTGCAAAAGCGATCGCTGGCAATTTTAAGGCATTGAAGGAAACCTATGGTTGTAAATCCTATATCAAATTTGGCACACGTTGGAACAGTTAGAGCGGAAACAAGGATGCTTTGTGGGCTGGTGTTCGGGAGTCCTGCAGCTTCCCAGCGCTGGCAGGGGCACGATGCTAATGTGAGCGCAGGGTTTTCATGTGACGACTGTGCAGCTGAACAAGGGGCCCTGCAGACCCCGACATTTCGGAGCCAGCGACACCAGAGGAGGTGCTGTGCCCCACGGCTTGGCGGTGCCTTCACCTCTGATGCGCTGGTTCCCTGCCCTATGCCTGCTGCTAGCAAACCCCACGTGCCTGGCTGGACTAATGCTGCTGAAAACCAGACAGTTGTCAGGACAAAAAAAATGAACTATAAGGAATGTTTTTTTTAAAACGTAAGTGGCTCATAGACCAGATGTCAGGTGTGGTTACAGTCCAGTATGGCTATTTCTGTGCTTCTGGGATTAAAAGTGGACAGCTACAGCTTGAGGAGTGGGGAGTTTAGCTATACGTGGATTTGGATAGTAGTTGAAGGTCTGTAGCCTTGAAACTAGTTGTAGCAAACGTGTTGAGTTGATTCCCTCATCCTCCCTCCCCAGAGAGCTGGCTGAGCAGCGGTCCCAGCCAGCTCCCTCTCGCCTGCAGCGGGAGGAGGGAGAGAGGGATGGTGGGTGCTACGAGTCCACTGTGCCACCACAACGACGACCAACATGCATCTAGCTACCTGCCCCTGCCTCCGCCCCATTTAAAAGGGAGCAATGTGCCAAGCTCGGCCTCCGCACAGCGGGACCCGCGAGGAAGCCAGCCCCGGGTCAGTGTCCCCAGGGGGTTATGTGTTTCTAAGGGGGGCTTCCCACGAGTCCAGCACGGCTTCGTGCCCAGAAGGACAATTTAAAGGCCGAGTGGAGACTGTTCCCCCTCAAATGCAAAACGGACAGGGTCCTGACAGTTACATTTTTGCATTTGCAAGGATTCCTTCATGCAGATTTAATCTACCTCTTTTCTTGGCAGAAGTTATGGTCCCCTCAATCATCTCAGCCCTGCTGGATGATATTTTAGAGGTCACTTTAATAACCTCTCCTTGCTCCTTCTCCCTGAAGGACAGAGTAGAGGAACTAAAGCCTCTTGGCTGGAAGGAGTAAGTGGGGTTGGGGAGGGGATTAAGCGCTGAAAGGCCGACGCTTTCTGTGCTGAAGAGGTTCTCCTCTCCCTCCAGCAGCTTCCTGCAAGCACATCACAAGGAAAGAGGTTAGTCTGGGGACATCTCACGCAAAACATCTGCAAAGGCTGAGGGTGTGCTGTGACCTGCAAGCAAGTCTGAGCGCTCCAGGCCATCACCCCTGCCTGCAGCAGACGCTGGGTCATGTCACGCTGCACTGTGAAACTGGTTCAAAGTCATATGCTTTGGTCAATCATTTTTGGGGCACTTGCAATAATGGGGTACATGAGACCAGCTCCCTCCTCTCCCTCCAGAAACCTCAGGAAAATCAAACCCTGAACCAGGGGGGCTCTGCCTTTTGCATCTGCTTTGACTTTGCAAGAGAGACAACTTTCCAACCCCAAATGTCCCCATTAAAAACCACTGCTTTTGGGACGGCTGCGGGAAGATGGCTCACAGCTGCTAGATCAAGGCATGACATGGAGCCACGGCTGCTCCCTGGGCAGGAGCATGGCAGGTCCGGGCAGGGGAGATGAACAACACAATGGTGTTGCTCCTTGAGTGTGTACCCAGATATTTTCTGGGCCCTTGAAAATACCCCAGCCTGGCAGGGTTGGGGGTTTGGGTTGGGAGGCATCTGGGCAGAGCAGAGTCAGAGCAGCCTTACCTGTAGGCAGCTATCTCGATATCAAGTGCCATCTTGACGTTAAGCAGGTCTTGGTACTCCCTCAAGTGCCGAGCCATCTCATTTTTGGTGCTTCGCAGGTCATCCTCCAGCTGCCCGATGGTGTCCTGCAAAGGCAAGGGTGCTCAGGGATGCGTTTCGGAGCAGGGACCTCTCCTGCAGGTTTTCTGCTCTGCCCGTTGCGGAGACAGGGAAGCTGCAATGGGCAGTTGGTCCACGATGGCACATCCCACCAGGAGCTTGGGATCATGAAATCTCAGGCTAACAGGGATGGGGGAGCTGGCAGAGCACCGGGCACAGATTGCAAGTGCGTGTGGAGGGGGGAGGCTTTAAACATTGATGGATTTACATAGTTTCCCATCTGCAGCAGGGTCTGTGAGGCGGGGCGGGCAAATAGTGCATAGTGGTGGAGCCCCCAGTCCTGCGGGGGATGAGGCAGGCTGCTGCAGAGGGGAGGGAAAGGCTGGGCTGGGCTGCCGAGGCGGGATGGGAAGTTTTGGGCTTAAACATTGTCAAAGCAGGGGTGGTGGCTGAGCAGGACAAGCAAGAGCACCCACCATTGCAGCAGCCCACAGCTGGAGCAGCTGCCTGGAGAAGGGCTGCAGTCTGTGTCTGGGGCCTTAGGAAGGGTTGGGACATGTGTCTGGGGTGGTGGAAGGAGAGTTGGTGCTGCTGGAACAGAAGGGAAGAGCTGGCTCCATTAGGGGAAGGCTGACACCTTCCCTGGAAAATGCCTCAGACCCCCAGGCTGGGGGGCTCTGGATGCAGGGATCTGGGGGGGTTACAGAGTCAGAGCCCTGCCCTGCAAGAGCCAGGGTGCTCCACTGGACAACGATGGCCTTCCAGCATCCTCCTCATCAGCTTTGCCCTACCATGGCTGCTACATCCAGTTCTACCTGCGATGTGGAGGAGTCCGAGGCCAGATCTGGTAACAAAGGGCATGAATCTTTGTTTCTATTTTTTTTATCAGAAAACAAGCAGTTTTCTCCTACATGCACCCAGGTATCTAAGCAGCAGCCTGAAAGCAGTGAAACCCACTCATATCAGAATCTTCCCAATCAGATGGCTTCCCACTGCTGGCCGCCCCGCTCTGCCACCAGAGGGGCGTGATCTGGAGCGGGAATGAGTAAGCAGTTTGCATTTAAGTGACGGTGTAGCCCTGCCTGCAAAGCCCTGCAATGGCCACTGCCAACGTCTGCTCTCCCGCATCCTCTCCCACAGCTGGGCCTTTGCGATTGCTTCCAGCTCCTCTGTTCCAGCAAACAAGCTTTGTCCTGCCATATCATCCCCCTGTCCTTGTCCCCATCCTGTCCCTGTCCTCATTCCCATCCTGTCCTCTCCTTTGTGTCCTGCATAACCTTCCTTGCACACAGTGCAGGGACAGCATGAGGCGTGGAGCTGCCCAAGGAGCGTGGAGCTGCGGTGAACCTGATGCAATGAGCCCAGTCTGAGCTGAGACCCTCAGAGAAGCAGTGCCAGCTCACCCTGAACGTGGCATGGGGCATCTCACAGTCAAGTTAGCTGGACAAATCCCTCCTTGCGGGACATTTATGAGCCACCCTTTGGGTCTCTGCCTTGACCTGTGCTGCCCTGACCATCTCTCACAGCAAAAGAGCTGCATGGAGCTGTGCCTCTGAGGTGGGACTGGGCAATGGGAAGGGGTTCAAGTAGACCATTGGGACATCAACTGAAAAGCTCCAGAATATGCATGGATGCCGCTGCAGTGCAGATTAACATCTCTGCTCTGATGCAGCCAGACTGCTGCTGCACCGAGCCATGACAGGAGGGAGGGACTCGGGATAACCCTACCTGGGGACAGCCCCACTCTTGCTGCTCCGACCCTCCGTACCTCCAGCCCCCTTCCCTCTGCCTGCAGCTCGCATGAACAAAACACTTTAAAAATGGGTTATCCTTGTTACCCTGTCTGTACCCCTCTTCCACACCCCAGCTCTACCAGCTGGTTGAATAAAACCCCCTCCCCACACCATTGCAAACCTTCCCCCTAACAGAAAGCTTTCACGTACTGGTTCAGATTTGACTGGATAGCCTACAAATATAAAGACGTGTCCCTGCTTTAGCAGTCTATAGGAACATGTTAAAAGCTCAAACAATAGGAATATTCTCTTTTAAGACAGACCTCCATCCTTTTGCACTGGTTGCAGCTAGGGAAATTATTTAGGTGCTACACATGTACATTGTCCAAAAGACTCCTAAGTATTGCCACACTTAAAGCAGTCTAGCATCCTGTAAGGAAAAGCAGCCGTGCTGTCGCTAAAGCAATTTCAATTACGGTGCTGTTTAATCCAGTTGCATTATTTGTCTTTTTCTCAATTGATAGGTTGTTCCCAGAATCCCTCTTTTCACATGGCATGAAGACTATTTAAGAAGATTACTGTGTGTAATCCTTTCACCCACTACAGGAAATATGGTATATTGCCTATTTCCACAATATTTGTTGAAGAAGACCTCAACTATTCAGGAAGACTGCAAGCACCTTGGAGCTACAGTCCTGAATTCTAGAGACCCTGGCAAAATTTGGCCTTGAAAATGACAAGGCATTACCTGGGCGTGAAATAACAATGTCCTTCAGGTATGACGTAAGGCAGTTGTTTCAGTATTTAGAAGGAAACGGCTTGATTTAGAAACCACAGATCATTTAATAGCCATGTAATAGAATTATCTCAGGATGTATTTTATTATAAATCATGAACGTTTCCCTGTAGCAAGAAAATGTGGTAATGGAATGAGAGATAAGGAGCACTTAGTGTCTGCCCCACGTGAGCCTTTCCACGGACATAAGAGATGCTGGGATCTGGCTGCAAATTCAACCTTAACGTTTGCAGAGCTCTGCTTTCTGCAGTGCAGGTGCCAAGAGCCAGGCCACAGGGCGAGGGGCCAAGCCCAGGCAGACGGCTTCGAGGAATTACCCACAATGATGGGGAGGGTGTGGGCAGTTCTGGAGTTCACCCTTAAGGGACAGGGCAGGGATGGGGCGATGTCCCAGACAGGGAGACCTTTGTCCCCTGTGGGAAGGGGGTGTTGGAGGGAGTGTCCTGGCCCTGCCTGTCCCCCCAAAACCTGTTCTCTGAGGTTGTGCCTATGGATAAAGGGTGAAAGCAGCGGGCAGTGACGCGGTGGGGCAGGACCCACTGCGCAGGGCAGAGAGGCCCTATGCCGGGGGGGAGGAAGGCTGCAGGGATGCCTGGCACTGCGCAGTGCTGCGGGGGCACTGCCCCTGCACGGGGGGGCCCTGCAGAAGGCGGGGGGGTGGTGCCGCGCAGCGCTGGTGGCTGCAGAGGGGTGCTGCATGCAGCGCAGCGCAGCACGGGGTAGCGGGGGCGCCGAGCGCCGCACGGTGCGGGCGGGGCACCGCATCGGGCCGGGGTGTCCAGCGCTGCGCGATGCTGCGGGAGGGGCTGCTGCAGAGGGGGGAGCTGCGCTGCAGGACTTCGCATGCAGCGGAGATGCTCAGCGCTGCACAGGAGCGGGGGAGGGGGAGTGCTGGGTCGGAGGTGCCGGTGCTGCACAGCGCCGGGGGGATTGCGTGGGATGAAGATGCCCGGTGCTACACAGCACCGGGGGAGCTGGCTGGGATGGAGGTGCCGAGTGCCGGGGCCGGTTGCACGGGAGGAGGATGCTCGGTGCCGCGCAGTACCGAGCGCCGGGGCGGAGCTGCCCGCCGCTGCCCGGCTCCGGGGACCCTGCGCGGGGGGGG